GTCTTCCATCTCTTTTTCCCTAGGTATCTTATCCTAACTTTTAGTCACTTTACCCCTTCTTCTTTCTCCATTCCATTCTATTATTCATCTCTTGACATTTTGCTATGCCAAAGTAGGTAGTTCACTCATCAGAGTAATTTCATTCTCTAAAATAGTTCCCACATTTTCAATTCTAAGTTGATATATAAAAAAAATGGAACCTAGTTGAATTTTCTATAATGACACCCACTTTTTTCTATTTTTTCAATTTTAAAATCAAGAAATCCTACTAACTATATTTGCTGTCAAGTGCCTGACTTTAACCTGGACCTCTCTACATCTTAATATATTCTTTTTTCTTTTTCTTTTCTTTTTTTTTTTTTGAGAATTATCTCATTGTATAGCCCAGACTGGCCTCCAACTGGAGATCCTCCTTTCTCAGCCTTCTGAGTGCAGGGATTATAGGCATGTACCACCATGGTAGGCAAGACTAGGATCTTACTACATACATATACTGAAAGGAAGCATAAGATTCATGGGTCAGAGGAAAAACCACTTTACTCATGGCAAAAGCAGCATCAGAAATAAGGCCCTAGATCAGGTTTCCAAGCTCCAATCCAAAGGACAATAATGTGAGTGGCCAGATGTTATCTGCACGTGCAGCAAGGTAACCCAAAGTAAGGGAGAGAGACAGAATGACATTTATTCTGGAATGTAAGGAAATCACTATAAGGAAGAGAGAGGAAAACTTCAGATGTGTTCAGGAAGAGAAATGATCTCTACTATAGTAGCCAGAAAACAAATCTTCATCTGACCTTAAGATTAAACAGTATCTCTAGCTTTCAAAGATGTTTTCTATACAAACCTTTGCTCAGAAAATCCAGACCATGCAAAAATGTAATATATTCATAGAGAACTATCTCCCAACATACATTATCCCAAGTTTCTTTTAGCTTCAGCTATCTCACATCTAGTCTATATTAACTATATCTGTTGTCTAACCTTCTATAACTCTTTGGATTCATGCTCTATCATGCTGCTACTTACAGAAGCAAGTCAGACTTGGAAACTTAGTCTTTGCAAAATATCAGTAACATACCAATCAAATGATCTTTTCCTAATCATAGTCTACGTTTTGCAGAATTTAACAGGTGCTATACTTTCTTCCATTTAACTGTAAACTACTCCACTGTTTGTAGGACTAGTCTGATTCTGTTTCTCTCCCCTTCCCATCTTTATTCTTGGGCTTTTTAATTCTGACTGTTTAATATGAACATATCACAAATTGACTTCTCATCTATATTTGTTCCCTCAAATATCTTCTACTTGAATGAATTCTCCTACTTGAATTTCAGTTGTCACCTATTCAGGTGACTTTAATTTCCTGTTACATTCCAAAACTCACTTGTCCTTATTTCTGTCTAGATATAATATATTTTAAAAATAAGAATTCCATGATTCGACTTTTTAGTTTGTCAGTGAGGCCCTCATTCTAACAAATCTTTATTTTTTATTAAAAAAATTTTTATTAAGACATATTCATGGGAGGGGGTGGGGGCAGGGGGGAGAAATGAACAAAGCCTTGTATGCACATATGAATAATAAAAGAAAAATGAAAAAATAAATAAATAAATAAAAATAAAACAAAAAAAAGAAAAAAATCTTTATTTCAATGTAAAAAAAATAAATAAAATGAAATTTAAAAAAAGACATTCGTTATATGGAGGGATTCATTGTGACAATTCCAGTTAGACTTATATTGTACAATTGTCAAACAATTCTTTAGATTTAAAACCTGGAGATATGGTTTAGTAGACTTACTCAAATACAACAGTCTTTTAACTGGAATGCTTTTGTCTCACTTTAATCCATTTTCTATAGTCACCTAGGAAATCACTCAAACATAGAATCATGTTACAGAAGTTAAAGCCAAATTCTCTAGCACTTTGTACAAGGCTTCTGATTGGATGACTGCTTGTCCCTACAGCTTCAACCTCTGCCACCTTTCCACACTCCCCCACATACCATACCAATGAAGGAAAGTACTTGCTTTGACGGAGTTCACTACTCATTTATTCAAACACTTCCTGAAAGCCTACTATGAGCCAAGCATTATGCTAGGAACTGGGGTTATAAATCTAAGTTATGGTTTTTCTTAAGAGGATAATAAACTTGTAAGTAAATGCCATTGACTTGTGATTAGTAATGTAAGGATATGAAATGGTTTCTCTTTCTCTAAAGCACTTAACCTGACAATATAAAGCATGACATGCTGGTAAAGTCTTGAAGAATGAGTTGTAATTTGTTAATAATTTGTTATATAACCATTGTATTCCTGCTAAAGTACAAATATGTAGAGATACGAAGATACAGAATTAAACCCCTTATTTGAAAAGCTATAAATATTTCAAAATGACCATAAGATTGAAGGTAGGAGAATGAAAGGATACAAGGATGGGAAGGTGGGGTTAGATAATAAAAAGCCTATCATATATTAAAGGGTGTACTTTTTCCTGAAAGACTATAATTTTGGGGGGAAGGTATGGTGCTGGGGATCAAACCAGGACCCTGAATATGCTAGGCAAGCGCTCTACCACTGAGCTACATCCCTAGTTCCTTTTACTTTTTAAAAACAAGTTCCATCATAATTTATTGAGGCAAGAATCATTTGTAGGTATTAAAACTAGTAGATAAAAGTTTGAAGAATAAAAGATATTAACATAGCTTCTAAATATCTCTCCACATGATATTAATTATAATAGAGAAGACAGTAACTTAACAGTGGAAAAATCCTATAGATAGGGTTTCTCAACCAGTTCATCAAAGTTAAACATCACAGTAATGGTAAAAATGAGCATCATGGGCCTCCTGATACAATGCAGTGAGGAGAATGCAGCTCCATTCTTCTGAGGCATCCCCCCCAAAAGACATAAACTGAATTTAAGGATTAAGAAAGCAGCAGGTAAATCCAGGATGAGAAGCATTCTATAAGATCACTGGTCTTTACTCTTCAAATCAGTGAACAGCATGAAGGTCAAAGGAAAGAAATTAAAGGAAACTAAATACATGAAATCTGTGTGTAATGCATCATCCTGGATTTCTCCCTTAAAGGACATTACTGGTACAATTGGCAAAATATCAATAATGTCTGAAAATTGCATAATAATATTGTATCAATATTTAATTTATGATTTTTGTAATTATTTTGTGATTACCTAAGAGTGTATAAGAAAATTCCCTTTATTAGAGAAGTACACAATGGGCAAGTGCCCATGGCTTACACCTGTAATCCTAGGTGGGAGGCAGAGATCAGGAGGACCATGGTTCAAGGTCAGGCCAGGCAAATAGTTTGAGAGATCCTATCTCAAAAATATTCAACACAAAAAAAAGGCTGGTGGAATGGCTCAAGTAAAGCACCCTTCCTAGCAAGTATGAGGCTCTGAGGTCAAACCCCACTTCTGCCAAAAAGAGAAAAAGTACGCAATTGAAGTACTTAGGGGTAAAGGAACATCACAAACATACTCTCAAATAATTCTTTGAAATCTTATGTAGAGAACTAGGGATGTAGATCAGTGGTGAAGCATTTGACTAGCTTATGTGTGACCCTGGGTTCAATCCCCAGCGTTGAAAAAATATTGCTGAAAAATCTTATATAGAACACAGATGTTCATAGTAGCATTATTCACAATAGCTAAAAAGATAGAAGCTGCCAAAGCATCCATTGATGAGTGATTGGATAAGTCAAATATGGTATTATGCATACAATGAAATATTATTCAGCCTTAAAAAGAAAGGACATTCTGCCACTTTGATACAGATGAATCTTAAAGACATTTATGCTAAGTGAAATAAGTCAGTCACTAAAGGACAAATATTGTAGGAAAATACTTATATGCAGTACCTAGAGTATAGCTGTCAAATTTACAGAGACTCAAAATAGAATGGTGGTTACCAGAGGCTGAAGGAAGGAGAATGGGGAGTTATTTAATGTGTGCAGAGTTTCAGTTTGGGAAGACAGACAGGTTCTAGAAGTAGATGGTGGTAATGGTTACACATCAGTGTAAATTTACTAAATGCCACCAAACCATACACTTTAAAATGGTGAGATTGTAACTTTTATGTATCTTTTACCACAAGTTTAAAAATAAATCATAGAGAGGTAGAAAGGAAAAGTGGTAAAAGGAAGTTATCTTCTGAAGATGTGATGGAGTTTAGAATGGAGGCAGAGTAATCAAAAGGCTATTGCAGTAATCCACAGAGAAAATGAATAAATATAAGAATGCTACAAGTGATACAATTTAGAGACCAGTAGGATAATATTTTAGACTGTCCATTACATTCAACTTTTGGTAGATGGTGGCATATTAATCAAAATACAGTAGATATAAGTAGATCTACAGGCCTGTACATTCATCTACCTAACACCCATTTACCCTTCATAACTTAGCTCAAATATGACTTCCTTGGAGAAGTCCTCCCTGGCTCTTTGCATGGTCTTTTTCCTTTGCCTCACTTCTTATTAGTCTTTCTCACTTCCTTTTGCAAGGCTTTGTAAAAGAATAGTTTACTGAATGTGGTATATGCTCACTTTGTGTTCACTTTTTGACCAGTTTCCTTGTACTACTTCATTTCATCATAGAGGGAAATAATTTTTTGGAGAACACAGCCATATTCATTTTGAAATAAGAAGTTGTAATTTAGGACAAAATGCTAGTAAAATAATGAAGCTTAGGATCAGTGGCAAGCCATGCAACACAACGTCTGCCTCATAACAAAAGTTCAGTAACTGTTTAAACTGAATTAAATTTGTTTGAATTTTAAAGGTAGAAGTTTAAGCCCATCATAAAGTTATTAAGCATTTAGAGACCTAGTTTTGCTTCACAGTAATTCAGCTGTCAACATTTGAACTTTATTTGCTATCTATTATTTGTAGTTGTATCACTTTAAAACACAAAGTCAAAACAAATTGAAGCATACTATATTCATGTTTCCTAAACTTTCTTTTTATACTCTCTTTGTAGGTTATATGTAAAGTCAGATGTGCCACTGAACTTGACAAACACAAGTAAGTTTCATGAGTAGCTAAATTTCTGTCTACAAGATCTAAAGCATTAATTCATTAATATTAATGATTAGTATCTAAAAGATCTAAGTATTTTTAACAGTAGACTGATCAAGGTGAACGGAAAGGTTGTTGAGGGTGTCTTTGCAGTTTTACAGAAAATCAAGTAGTTGATTGATTCAAAGGAGGTAAACTGGACTGGCGGAGTGGCTCAAGTGGTACAGCACCTGCCTTGCAAGCATGAGCCCCTGAGTTCAAACCCCAGTACTGCAAAAAAAAAAAAAAAAAAAGACCAAAGGAAGTAATCTGAGTAGCCCACAGTTTTCTCCCTGCAGCCATGCTAACACTTTACTTTCCCTCTCTCCTCTTTTTCTCTCTCCCTCTCTCTCTCTCTCCCCTCTCTCTTTTACTCTTCCCCTGTCTTTCTCTTCTACGCTCCATCTCTTCCCCACCTTTCTCTCTCCCTCTTTCCCTCCCTCCTACTACCCTGCTTTTCAGATGTCAGATGTAGCTTCACAGGGTCCCATATACTAAAGTTAGATTAAACTGTGTTGGGTGAGGATGTGGGGTATAGTTCCATGAACTAAGCGATGTTTCATTACTGATTAATCTCAACAGTGTGAATGCTAAACTGTAGAATCAAGAGATACGGTTTCACACCTAATTTCCCCACTGACTTTATGACTATTCAATTCATTTACCCTCTCTTTGCTTTGGTTTCCTAAACTACTCTAGTCCCTTGGATACATAATTTCAAGGTCTTTTTTGGTTATTTCAAACTATATGACTATTGTTTTTTATTATTTAGTCTAAATGAATATTAAAATCTAACCTTTTTACTGGACCTGGTGGTGTACATCTATAATCCCAGCATTCGGGATGCTAAAGCAGGATAATCAAGAGTTCAAGGCCAACCTGGGCTACATATCAAGACCTTGTGAAAAGATTTTTTTAAATCTAACCTTTCAAACTAAACTTTGATATTTTGTATATATATACTTAACAAAATTTGCCTCTTACCAGCTACATATTACCTTCAATTTATCTTATGTAAACTATCTCAAAGGACAGCTGATTTATGATTCCCATTATCAAAAGTGATCCAGGATAGGTGTTAGGATGCAAAGAAAAAAATTTCTGGCCATATGTACTTAATTTGGGAATATAAGTGTATTTGAACTGGGACTACTTACACAGAGAACTGTTGACTGCTGCTTGATACAGATGGCCACACCTTAGTGGAGATTTTTCTGAGGTGGTCTAATTTTTCCAAGAAGACATTAAGCATTTCAGGTAAATGTGCATCTCTGTGGAAGAGGAGGTAGTGATGAGTGCTTGAAACTATATAATCTGTCTCTATGTTCTTTGCTCAATTTGAAAGCAGTGTTTGCAAAACATAATCAGGAGTTCAAAAAGACTGAATGTTGTTTATAGCATATTTCCCTTACCTCTTTTTAAAATTTTTTGTTACCTCACCTCTTAAAATTATTAATATTTGGTGATTAATTTATATTTAGATACAGTATATTAATATTCTAGGCAAATTTTAAAAACCTGGTAATGATCAAAATGGGAAGGTCAATGAAAATCAGCTTAATAGTTATAAAAATGAAAAATTCATGGTTGCCTGAAATAGTGTTAAAATAGTCCGGTATTATCTTCCTGGTAAAGGCAACTGAACTTGAGTCCATGTGAAATTATTTCTGAATTAATACTTTAAAATCTGTGTCATTTTTAAATAGTTCAGATACTAATTTCATAATAGCATAGATAGCCCAAGTAACTCTGAGAAATTATTAAATTTATATTTATAAAGTTATAAACATTTTAAGCTAAAAGAATTCTTGTACACAAGCTAACTTCTCATTAATAAAATCTCTTTTTCTTTCAGAATTCTCCTACATTTGGGCTTTATACTGGCAAGCCTTCTCTTTTTGTGGTGAATTTGACTTGTGCAATGCTTGTCCATGGAGATGTTCCAGAAAATCAGTTGAAATGGACTGTGTTTGTTCGAGCATTAATTAATGATAGCTTGTTTATTCTTTGTGCCATCTCCTTAGTTAGTTACATATGCAAAATTACAAAAATGTCATCAGCAAATGTCTACCTCGAATCAAAGGTAAGTATATTTCTTAAATTTGCTCTAAAAAATCTAATTTCAAATCCCTATTCTAACCATATTTTAATGGAAAGTTTCTGTTGCTTTTTAAAAGGTATCCTGAGTGATGGTCACATTTTTAAGCATGAAAGAATAGTCACTAACAATTAAAGGGTATTCAAAACATGGCCCTTACTAAACAATAGTTTATGAAAAAGAAGCATATAATATGCATGTTTTATTTTCTATGACTCTGTACTGCAGGCTAGTTAAATGAAATTAACCAGACTATATATGGGTGGATCAAAAATAGTCTGATATATAAAGCTGCAATGACAACCTAAGATTTTGTCTGGTAAGGTTAGCAATATTGCCATTAAACAAATTTACCAGATTACGTCTATATATACTTGGGATAGCAATATAAAGATGTCACGTAAGTAAAGTGGTGTTTATTTATATGAAGGTTTAGAAAATATTACTTCACCTTATACTGTGAAGGCTATATGATCATTGAAACAGCTAATCATGCCTTGCTTTTCCCTTTCCTTGTTTAGAGAAAAAGCCAAATATTAACTCATTAACAAAGAACCATGGAACTTTCTGCTATTGTTGATTGTCAGTGTGGTTGAGCAGTGAATTTGTCATCACAGTGTATGTGTGGTATTGTGTGGGGAGATGTAGCTATGTGGATATTGGGGTGTGGGTGTATACATATACACATTTTTATAATCATTTACCCAGGAGAGCTTCCTTTAACTTGGCATCATTGCCTATTCACTAAAGATAAGCAAGAGAGTGTCTTTAAAGAATGGTTCTCTGAAATATTTTTAGATTTCTATATTGTCATTATCCTTAATATAGCCCTAGTAAAGCAAGGCACTATAATTAAATATATGGTAATCAACTTGTCCTTTAAATTTAGGCAAAGATTTTAATTTTACTTTTTAAACCTATTTCAGTATACTGCTGGGGGAAATATATATATACATATATATCAAGAGAAAGAAGGGTCAGACTTTCAAGCCTATTAATCATACTTGCAAATCATTTTATTCACCTTCTAACGTATTCATAAGATTTAAATATTTTAGTTAACTCTGGCTTCATTTTGATTGTTAAGAACAATATTGTCACTGTTATGGTCCATAATCTTTTGTTGGCAGCAATAGCACCTTTACTTAATAACCTCACCATAGAATTCATGCTTTTGCTTACCTAGTGATAAAAACATGAGTATATATGGTTGAATCTAAACTGCCTCTTTTCTAGACCTAGTAACATTCTAAGTTTGGTTTTGTTTGCTTTGGAATAAATGATACTCTGCATATAATTGCCAATCTGAGAAGGAAATGTCATCTGATATGTCCTCCAGAATTATCTCAAACATACTCATCTTACCATCGCTTTTTTGTGGTACTGGGGATTGAACCCAGAACCTAACAAACACTAGGCAAGGCTTCTACTGAGCCACAACCCCAGCTCCTAGGTATTCACTTTTTAATATATTATTTTAAAATTCTTAAATTTAAAATCTTTAGGTTCAATAATTATCTGGGAATACTACAGAGACATATTCCAATACACAGCTACTGAGGTAGATAAAATATTAGATTGTTTGTATTATATTATATTGTTATACAGCTCTTAATCTTCCTAACTACATTATAAATTTCAAAGAAAATGTCATCTTTCAGGTTCTCCTTGGAATATCACTAAAAAAAAAAAAATCACTAAAATTACTGATCACTAAAAAAATCATTTTTTTTTGCTTCTATAACAATATACAGTAGTGACCGTTCTTTTATTCAATCAACAAATTTCTTTGAGCCTCTACTTCTACTTTCAAACTGATCTTTCTTGCTATCCTCAAGAACATTTCCTTAAAGCTCAGACTTTGGTCTTTTGTTTTCCTCTTTTTATTCTTCTATCCTCCCTTTATTTACTTTGTGATAACCCTTTATAATTTGTCTCAATCAAATGTTAATTTATTTTATTTCCAAATGACACACAGGGCTGGCAGAGTGGCTCAAGCAGTAGAGTGCCTGCCTAGCAACCAATACAGTATGCCTTCCTGCCTTACATACTTGGCTGTTTCATCATCTAGGGCTGCCTTTCCCCCTTCCAGTGCTCCCCACCTCTATGTTCATAACTTACAGAACTTTTAAAACCTACCTCTAATGTTTCCCTTTTTATAAACTTAATTTGGTCCCTTCTTCAAACTTCTAAAATAAAATTTAGAAAAATTTACTAACTGGATTGTCTTCAAATTTTATTTGATTCCCTTGGGACATTTCTCACTTTACAGTAGATAACATTTGTGTACACATAGTCTAATTTTCCCAACTAAGTCTGAACTTTTAGAAGGAGAGCACTTATTTCTCATATCTCTCTTGGTGCCTCACACTTAGGTTTAGTGAATTTTGTATGAATGATGAATTTCATTTTTATTTCTATTAATTCTGTACCTTAGAATACTTTCACCAGCCTAAATACTTCATTCTTTTCCTACCCTTTTTAATTTGTCATTGTTATCATTCTCCCATTGATTCAGACTCAAATTTAAGAGTACTCTGATTTTTTTTATTCCTTGTTTCCTAAAATTAACTCCAATCAACTTTTTCATTTAAAACACTTCTATTAGCCAGGTGCTAGTGGCTCACACCTATAATCCTAGCTACTCAGGAGGCAGAGATCAGGAGGATCATGGTTTAAAGCCAGGCCGGCAAATAGTTCACAAGACCCTATCTTGAAAAACCCTTCTCAAAAATAGGGCTGGTATAGTGGTCTGAGGTGAAGGGCCTGAGTTCAAGCCCCAGTACCACAAAAAAAAAAAAAAAAGAAAGAAAGAAAGAAAGAAAGAAAGAAAGAAAGGAAAAACCTAGTATTTTTTCTTCATTTGAAAATCTTGATAGGAAAGGAACCTAATGAACATAGTTATCTATATCTACTATGTACTAGACAGTTATTTTTCACATTGTCTCATGTTCTGGTTGCTTTTTTACATTATCTCAAAATAATTTTGTTAGGTGTCTGTGATATTGTGATAAAATAAAACATATATATTTGGTCTCTTCCCCTGGTTCTTTGCACACAATTAGAACCCTTAAATTCTCAAGAGTAACAGGAGGATTTGGCCCCTAGATAACTTCTTAGTGGGAACTGATTGCCAGAAAAACCTATACATGATTAGGGGGTTGGGACTTTCAGAGGGGATCATCAGTGGCTGATGATGTGATCCATCATATCTATGTAATGAAGCTCGATAAAAACCCAGATGGATAGATTTCTAGGAGCTTCCCAATTGTGGAGTAGATGGAGATGCTTGGAGGGTGGCACAGAGGGCATGAAGTCCCACAGCATCCTCCTGCATGCTTTGCCCTAGGTATCTTTTCCATCTAACTGTTTATCCATATCCTTTGTAATACCTTTTTAAATGAATCAGTAAACATGCTTCCCTGAGTTCCAGGAGCTATTCTAGCAAACTAATCTAACCCAAGGAGGGAGTTTTTAGAACCCCAGATTTACAGCCAGTTGGTCAAAACTGATTAGGCACAACCTACTACACTTGGGATCTGAAGAGGGGCTCAGTCTTGTGGGACTGAGCTTTAAGGATCTTGTAAGATCTTATGGTATCTCCAAGTACAGAACTGAATTAAAATATAGGACATTTAGTCAATATCTCCTAAAGAATAGGTTGGTGGGAAGAAATCCCAGCACGTTTTAATGGCGAGAAGTAAAGTATATTGTGTTAGTGCTGTATGGCATCTGAGAGTTGAAAATAGGGGAAGAATGTTTTTCTCACATTCTCTTATTTCTATTTTTTTTAATTTAAGTAAAAAAAAAAAAAAGGGTGGGCGTGGTGCTAAGAGGAAGAAGCAGTGTGACTTATAAGACCTTATATGACCTGGTCCCTGCCTATCTAACTTCCTACCACTACCACTCTCCTCTTCCTGTACCAGTCACATGGGCTTTTTGTTCCACAGTTTGTCCTTATACCAACCTAATCTTTGGGTATGTCTGCCTAAATTGTACTCCTGCAAGTATGTATGTGATGTCTTCTTTGCCTTCAGGCCTCTGTTCAAATGTCACTGTGTCAAAGCTGTCATTCTTAATCACTCAACAGGAATCTCCCATTCTGATTACTAGATCTATTCTCTTGTTATATTCATGGCATTTATCAATAGCTAAAATTATTGACCATTTGTTTGCGTACTTCTTTTCTGCTTCTCCCTCCTAAAGTGTAAATTCTGAGAATAGTTTTCTTTGTCTTGTTCATTTGTGGGAGAGGGCGGGGCAGGGAGACTAGGGTTTGAACTCAGAGCTCCACGCCTGGAAAGTAGGCACTCTACTACTTGAACCACACCTCCCATTCGAGCCTTGCTCATGTTTCTATCCTATTTCTCCAAAATATGTCTGGTATGTAATAGGTATTCAATAAATGTTTGTGAGTAAATACAATCCATGCTTGCATACATTCTTCCCTATTACAGCTTTACCCTAGTACCTGTAGGAAAGTTAGAACTTGCCCTTTGAAGAGGAAGGTTCAATAATCAAGTCTGCTGAAATAAACTGAAAACAAAAAGATGGGCTTCACTACTAGCTTAACCAGACTCCAAAGGCAGAGAAACCCAGAAGGCTAGCCAGTAAGAAATTTCTTACCTTTTGCCTTCTTATCAGGCCTAGGCTCTCCCCACTGTAGCTTCTGGGGGAACAGAGTAGTTTTGGAACTCTGTTGACCCTGTCAAAACTGGAAGAGCCAAGAGAATTTCTCCCTCTCTGTATTGGGGTTTGAGTCTGTGAGTCTGGCGATAGATAGATCAACATGAGAAAAAGCATCCAAATTCATTAATGTGCACAAGAACCATATAAAATATGAAATGCAAAGACACATGGTTGAGGTTTAAAAACTTCTTCTTAAGGGTAAAGGAGAGGAGGAGTAGGCAATTGTACTAGGGTAAGGGAAATGAATGAGCTCAGAGAACAAAAAAAAGAACACCTGGAACAAAATGCCTCTGGAC